GAGTTTTCCTCAGGACAAACCAGAACTGTCCCGTCTCCCAGTGCTCAGCACTGAAGGCGAGAGAGCAGCTGCAGTCTTTGCAGCCAAACACAATGGCTGTGCTGCATGGTCACAACAGCACCGTCACTTTCTACTAGGGCTGAGTGCAGCTGATTGCAGGAGATTCGACCCCTCAGCTGATAGAGCTGTGAGGTCACCTAGTGCCACACTGGGGGTCCTCTGGACTGAGTGTGCTATGAGGAGCACACTGTATCACATCATCTGCTGCCAGGATAGAAACCACTGTGCGCTGCTGAGGTACCCAGTCAGTTTGGAGAGGCCTGAAGCACACAAAGACCATCCTCAGTTCAAGCTGTTCTGTAAGCAAACCCCATGGATCCGGCCAAGCATGCATTTGAAGCCTGCCAGTACAAAAATGGCAGAGTTGCCTTTATCCTAAGAATAGAGTTGCCAAACAGCTGGAGGGTACACCTGCATGGCTAAGCACAGTCAGGAAGGCCAGTGAAACCAACACAGTAGATATCACCAAACACTGATGACAAGCCTGAATACCGGGACCTTCTCCAGTGCCTTGTGACCATTCTGTACCCTCATGTGCATAAATAGCAGCTCTTATGTGCTTGATGATGTTGAACTCAAACTCCAACACATTGATGAGTGAGCCAGCTGGGGTTGCAGAGAGCTGTATTTCCACTCCTCTGGGCAGTGGTGTAACCTCTTTCCATGTCCTTTGGATACAAGTGCAAAATAGCAAAGAGCAAAGCTGCCCTGATAGAGCAGGACCCTGCCATACAATTAAATTTCTTGAGGAACCTGAAATACCCCAAAATGTACATAGGTTGCTCCAAAAATAATGTATCCTATTTATTTCTATGGAAATGACAACAGATACAAAGAACACAACAACACTGATAGAGCAAATTCTCAGCTACAAAACACTATTTTTCAACATAATCACCACCACTAGCTATGCATTTTCACCACTGATAGATAAAAGCCTGCATGCCACACTTGTAAAAATCAACAACAGTGGAGCTGCCCCGCTGCATCACTGTTGAAATGCACTATCCACTGCTTCCGTTTGCTCACGTTCACTGTTTGGTCTCCATAAATGTTCAACAAGTGTTAATGAATGTCACTGGGTGCCATATTCTCCTCAAGGAGGAATTCAGTGGCATGCTTTTGCTTCATACCTACTTCCAAGTCAGACGCCATTTTGTCAGACTGCCCCTCTGTTGCCATCTGTCATATGGCAACAACATATAATGGAATATTGGTGGGAAGGCTTAACCTTTACTGCTATATCACCAACATCTGTAAATATAATAAAACAGGAGGCATTATTTTTGGAACAGCCCTCTTAATAGCAAACATCACCCAGAAGAGGAGACACATTGTATTCAAAATTTCCCCTAGGAACTCTCCTGTAAGCATCATGCGTCTTGCATCTGCCTCAGGTCTCCATCAATTCTTCTGTCCCCAGATCCTCACAAGGGCCTAAATGTTTGTCAGACCACCACACAGAAGGTGAAAGGAGGAATTCAGAAGATGAATTCAGGCTCTGAGATCCAGCAGGAAACTGAAACATTCTGTGCAGTTCTTTGGCCCTGGGGAAACGCAGAATAAATGCAGTTCACTGCCTCCAGTGAACTGATGCAGATCCTTGAAAACTTTATTTGCTTATCTTATCCCTGCCACCAGTGTGTTAGCATTGCCCTCAAAAAACAGACAACAAAATGTACTACAGCGTCAGGGTTTATTTCTGGAGGAAGCTGGAGCGCTGCCTGGAGAAGAGAGAAGGAATTCGTCACAGGTTTGAACACACTAGTGAATGCAGCCTGCCTGGCAACAAGCAGGGCTGAGCCTGGGAACCATTGGTTACTTTAGGACCCCAAGCTGCTGTTCTGTTCTCTTGTTCCAGACCGAATACTGACTTAGCCCTGTTTGGCTTTGTTTGTCCTGACTGGGAAACACTAAGGTCTAATAAATATATTGAAGCCATGACACTGGCAGATCACCTCTGGAACATCACAAATGGAGGGGCCGTAAGATAACCCCGAGGAGAAGGAAGGTAGGGTGGATTTTCCTATCATAGGAAGCCAGGAAGGATAGGTACATGGTGAATGTCTTCATTTCATCCAGGAGGACTTAGACAGCTACAGACTGCCCGGAAGGAATTCCTCATGTGTGAGCAGCTCCTCTGCATGCAGGTTCTATCATCTTCCTCTCAGGGCTTTGCAGGGAAGCACAGTTTGAACATGACAGAACAGGAGCAACCACAGTTAAATGCTGAGATAGCAATCACAGCCATTCCTCAGCTCTATTTATAGGTCTTCCTCCTACCCTGAGCAGCTCTGTCCCACCTTGGGCCAGCTGCAGAGCTGGAGATACCCAAGAGCTTCCCACAGACCACTGAAATCCAGGGCCTGGCCATCCAAGATAGGATGTTGGAAACAAAAGCCATCAGCATACCTGTTTGTACAGGATGTGGTTCCATCGATAGGAAGATATTCCCACCAGTCTGGGCTGGTTTCTGTTTAATTTTCCTCCATAGTGAGGTTTCACTCATGCTAGCTGATTGTTGCAATACACTACTGGGAGCTGCAACCAAGCATCATTATTTTAAGAGATCTATAGGAATTAAGGTCCAGTTTTTCAAGGAGACTTCACCCGTTAAAACAAAACAAAACAAAACCCGGACTCATGCATACTTTAAAAATGTACTGTCTAGTTTTAGTATCAAAACAAATATCCAAACAAGTATCCTTGCAGGAGCAGGCAACCAAATCCAGAGCAGCACATAGCTGCATTACAAGGTACATCTTTCTTTTAAGAGCACAAAGCACAAACAATCTGACTCCATGTGTCTTTTGAGGCGCTGTCCATGCAACACAAACGTTCTTCTGTCTGACTGTGCATCAATATGAGCAGCCAAGTGTGTCCTAACTACATATGCAGACAAATGAGAACTTCCATCTTTTTGGTCTTACCTCTGGGACCCCTAATCTCAGGAAGACTAAGTACGCATTGGTACAAGGAATAGATTAACTCAGCTTCAGCTTTCTTCACCTCATAAAATGCTGCACCTTGTGCTCCCCTGCCAGGATGCATCTGATGCCTTTGTGTTTGCCAGCTACTGCTCATTCCTACTCCTAACCCAGTGCAGCAGTGGGACAAGTAAACCTATGAAGAACTCACCTAGTGCTTTCAGACATTCTATATGTAATGTGTGATTTGTTTTGGCAGGTTATCTATTGCTCAAATGCAAAAGATGCAGTGATTCTGAAATGAATATATGTGGGCTGTACCTGAAGGCACAACAGAATCATTCAATTTCCTCTCCCTTACCTGTGCAGAACTCTCATTTTCAACTTTGCCTTAGCTACTAGCTGATGTGCCAGCTGCATTTTGGTAATGACTTGTTTCTGCACCTCCAGCTAACCACAAATTGATCTTTGCATGCCAAACCTTGGCTGCTGATACTGAGTTGTTAGGAAGAGGCTTTTTACAAATCAATAGCAGTCCGAGTTCATTCATATGCCCTTCTGTGAATTTCCACTCAGGCTCTTCCACTGCCATGAGCTATGGCAGTTGGCATTCCAAAAAAAGATCTGGAAAATGGGACTGGAGTTTCAGATCTACAAATCAGGAGAGAAGGAACAAGCTGGGGTTATCACCTGGCTGCTGCACTGCAGGTCTTTCTTGCCTTGAGTTTAACTGAGTCATCAGCTCCTTGATGAAACGGTGGCTACTCACTCCTGCTTTCTGTCCCTGTGCAGTTCCATTTCTTTGCTGTTAATTGGTTCAAACAAGATTTCCCCATGGACATGGGCAGTTGTACCATCAACCAGTAATCCACTAATTCCCTCAAACACACAGGAGTCCCTGAAGTACAACTCTACAACTGCCTTTTGAAAGAGTTGTATTTCTTCACCACCTACCAGATTGATGTCATGCTGTGATCAAAGTTGTCCTTGTTCTCAGAGCAAATTCCAGCATAGTTAATTGTTTGCAGCTTACATCATGCATTTGATCAGCAGAAATTCTCAAGATGTCACTACCTATACTAAAGCAAAAAGCCTTTGAAAAGGAGTTTTTTCTTGAGGTGGACAGGCTTTGATACTTCCTGAGGACATCAGCACAAGCATGTCTTGAGAGTCGAAATGGTTTACCCTGACTCTGTGAGAAGACTGGCAGCCACCACTGCTGTCAGAGCCTTTTAATATCACTCTAGGCAGCGTGTTGTGTGATAAAGCCATTATTGCACCACAGCCAGGCACCTCACACTGATGTTGATAATGCTTCCTTGTTGTGTTTCTGAGCTCTTCATTCCTAGCATATTGGTGAGCACCTAGAGGGCACAGGGACCCCTCAATCGCATATTTAATGTACACTTGGGGGTATTATGAGTGCTTTCAGTGTTTCCCTTCTTGGAGCTGGAGGTGTGGGTGGATGCTAGGCTCCGTCCTGTGATAGCAGACACTGGCTGCACTGGGCCCTGGCCTTTCAGGGCCAGCTTTCTCTGACACGCGGTACAGGAAGCCACGTTCGATGAAAGGTTCTGCTTTGTAAGATGCTTTCACATCGGCAAACACATTTTAAGTGTGCTAAGGCAGCAGGTCACTAGATGGCCTCATAACTTAGGAGATGAGGGCAGATCCAGCTGAGGCCATGCTATCTGCGCTTAAAAACTAGTCACCCTTGGAGATCCTTTTTGAAGCGTGGAATTTCATAGAACCAGAGAACCGTAGAACGGTTTGGGTTGGAAGGGATCTCAAAGCCCACCCAACCCCAACGCCCTGCCATGGGCAGGGCTGCCACCCAGCAGCTCAGCTGCCCAGGGCCCCATCCAGCCTGGCCCTGAGCGCCTCCAGCGATGGGGCACCGCAGCTTCTCTGGGCAGCCCGTGCCAGACGTGACAGAATTCAGCTCTCCAGGAGGCGCGCGGCTGAGCTGCCGCTTTAAGGGGGCGGGGTGGGGGCGGGCGCGGCGTGGCGTGGCGCAGCGCGGCGGGCGGAGCGGAGCGGCGCCGGCAGCAGCAGGTAGGTGCGGGCCCGGCGCTGCCTGGCCCTGAGGCGCTGCGCGGTGAGGCCGGACCCGGCGGAGCGGCCCGCGGGGTGCGCTGCCCGGTGCTGGTAACTGCTGGAAATGAATGCGGCGCCGCTCAGCGTCGTGACGGGCGGTGCGAAATTTAAGCTGCCTCATCAGCCCTGCCGATTTGCAGCAATTCATGGGGAAAGCCAGCGCGCAGCGTTGTCTGGCCAGATTTATGCGTGTCATTGATTCTGGTTAATCTGGTGCTTCCCTCAGGCAGATGGGGCCTGGGTAGCTGTGCCTTCCAGAAGGAAGGCGTTCATTGATTACATTCTTTAATTACGTGGGCTCTGCTGAATAGCATTCTGAAGCGTGGAGCAATGAGAAACATTGTGACGGGTGCTTATTAGCAATAAAAATACAAAGCCTTCAGCCAATGATTTAAAGATTTAACTAAATCGACCTAAACAGCGAGCACTATGGGAGTTCAGTTCTTAATTGCTTTAGGAAGCCATCAAGCAATAATTAGACTGCCCAGAGAAGCTGTGGTGCCCCATCCCTAGAGTCACTCAGAGCCAGGATGGATGGGGCCCTGGGCAGCCGAACTGCTGGGTGGCAGCCCTGCACACAGCACAGGGTTGGGGCTGGGTGAACTTTAAGATCTTTTCCAACCCAACCCATTCTATGATTCTGCAAACTAAAGCATAGGCCAACACACGCACAGAATGCCACGTGAAGCACACTGACATACCATGCTCCCACTCTCCTTGCCTTCACTGCCTGTGACATGGAAACCAGTCCTGAGTGGTGTCAGCAGGTCCCTGTGGGCTGCTGTGCCCAGTCTGGATATCTTGGTTTCCAAAGGCAGCTTGGAATGCACTCAGTTTGCTTTCCCTTGTGTTAGCTTGGAGTGTGTCACTGTGGTTTCTCACAGGAAATGGGCTACCACAGTGGAGGTTTGCTTTCTTCTGCACCTGAGAGCATCCACGTGAGACTTCTGCACTGTAAAACCATCTTTAAAATACAGCCTGAGGTGCAAAAAATCAATTACGGTTGGTTCTTGAGCTGATTTTAGATTTTGAAGCTGGAAGCCTGACTATTCTGAGGGAGAAAGAGGAAGGTCCACTGAGGAGATCTTTGCCTTTGATGTAAAAACATAATTTTCATATAAGGTCATCTCTGTGAGAAAGCTAAAAATTAGTGGCATCTCCCAAAACCCATACTGATAATCTTTGCTGTGTCCATAGGTCTGTAATTCCAGAGCCCTGCTACCAAAACTAATGATGCTGTGGTAGAACCTTAAATGGGAGCAGCTTTCTCTGCCTGTGCCCTCGAGGCAGACGAAGATGTTATAAAGCCACATTATCTAGCTTTTAGCTTTGTCGCTGACTGTTTCTCTCTGGGTATATTTGTAGCACTGTCCCGGATGGATAGCTTCTCTGTTACCATGTTTCCTGCTGGCCTTGCAGGCTCCCCAGGGCAAAACGCCAGTTCTTGATGGCACAGCAGCAGCTGTACCTTCCCAAAGCCTTACCAGTACATGGTTCTGAAGCCACAGAAACATCATTTATGTCATGTTTTCCTTTCAGGAATCGTCATCCATCACTATGAAAAACAGCATGCTGTGAACTTGCTTCAAGCCTTCTGCCTCATCAGCTGTCCCTGACCAGCTGTGCTCTGAGCTTGCCTTTGGGGCCATGGCCTTCAGCAGCTGGAAGCGGCTGCTGCTGTTGGGCAAGGCCTGCAGGAGGGGAGGCCCTGCTCTGCGCTGGAAGCGCTGCTGCCACTGGAGTGCTGGCAAGTCGCTGGACCCTGAGGTGAGAGCATTTTTGGAAGAGAACACGGAGGTGACCAGCAGTGGGCACCTGACACCAGAGATCCGGCTGCGCCTCCTCACCCCTCGCTGCAGGTTCTGGAGGGAAAAGCCCGACCTGTGGCCATATGGGGACCCGTTCTGGGCAATTTACTGGCCAGGAGGCCAAGCCCTGTCCAGGTACGCATCACTGAAGCCAGTAAGTTCAGTCCACTAACTAGCATCTCACCACTTGATTGTCCTATTATCTATGCACTCGTTTAGAGGCATTGGAAGTGTCAGAAATTAGCTGCACAATCTGAAAAAGGAACACGGGAACATGAGAACACACTGCTTCTTTAACCATCCTTGTTTCACAGCTGGCATTTCCACCATTCCAGATTTCATGCAACTTGCAATGTAAGACAGCTTGTTAACCCAGCATGGCAGACAGCAGGCTCCAACACCAGCACAGTGTCTGTGCCAGAGGATACGTTGGTTCGACTGTCCTAAATGAGCACAGTCATGAGGGATAACTTGAGAAGCATTCCGCTGGAAACACAGCACTTGGGCCAGGCTGTGCTCTCCTTGTTACTGCAGGAGCATCACTGCAAGTGCAAGCACAGCCACAGAAGGAGGAAGCGGAGTGCTTTCTCTGGTGGTCCCACCCATCCTTTGCCCTGGTAGTAAATTGGCTCTCCTGGGGGAGTGAAGGCTGCAGAGGGGGGACAAAGCTGGATTTCAGACCTCGCAGGAGAAGGTTATTTTCATTAAAACTAAGCCAGTTTCACTCACTGGTCTTGTATCTGCATAATCGAGCACCAAGCTGTGGGTGTCAAAGCTGTCTGGTAGAACTCCTTGTGATGAAGTGCAGGATGAGGGGCAAGGGATGTCAGCTCCTCTATGTGTCCCAAGGTCCTCATCAGGATATTCTGTGTCTTCACTCCTGGTCCCAGCCTTCTTGCTGCCATCTCACAATATCTGCAACTGTTTTAGTTTGCAGGTAGGGTGTCTTGTTCTCCCAGCCTGGGTTCCTGGGTGTCTGCACGCAGATGTGTTGGGATCCAAGTTCTTGATTTTTTTGTATCAGCGGAAACAAATAAGGATCTATACAGAAGCTGCATATTTGGAATAAGTGTCCTTTAAGACACCATGTTTTGCTACATGTATGATGAGAACTTTTTCTGCAGCACAACATATAAGCAAGAAACTTGCATATCTGGTTTATTGCTCTGACAGTTTTTTTCTTTCAAATGCAGGTACATTCTGGATAATCCATGTGTTGTCAAAGGGCGATCTGTTCTGGATCTTGGAAGTGGATGCGGAGCAACAGCAATAGCTGCTGTGATGAGTGGTGCATCTCAAGTCCTTGCTAATGACATTGACCCCAGTAAGCCCTTCTTTTCCTACCTCTGTGCAAAGATCTTTATTATTTTTACAGTATATTTAAAACTTTTCCCTCATTCACTTGGCAGAATCTGTTTCCAGACAGAGTTTTAAGAATGCTAAAAAGAACACTAAAAAGGCTTTTGGCAGTACTAGAAGCTGGGTTGTACCACACTTTCTTGCACCAAATGCATCTCCATAGCTCCTTAGAATGAATGCACAACTAAGTTTCTATCAAATGTTTCTTATGCGTCTGCTTTGGAAGAGAATTACGAGTGAAGCTGTTGTCTTTTAACTGTATTTTGGGAGATTTTAAAATCAAGTGTTTAGAGAGGAGACATGGCTTCATTTCTGTGCAGGGCATAAGGTGAGTAATCTCCACTAAATTAAGACACTGAGTCTTCACATCTTCTTCCACTCATATTCAGTTATTTTTAATATATGCCTATCTAGTACGTAAGTTACACATACCTACTACATATTCATAGGATTATACCAGTACAAGGTCACACAAACATAACTGAGGCCTCTGTGTCTGTGTGGGGGTCTTTGGTGATCATCTGGGGAGGTGTCCCCCTACTCACTGCATCCATGTTTGGGCACAGGCTTTCCCAACACACCTGGTCTCTAATGATTGGTCCCTGAACTACGGCCACAAGTCCAAAACAAGGATGTTGCTCTTTTTATAGAAGTCTTGTGGGCAGGAAGGATGTTTCTCATAGATAAGCAGTACATCTGGAAGTTACAAGCAGAACTAGAACTTAATTAGACAAAAATGGCAAATAATTAGTTCTGAGACATCACAGCTGGCAAGTTGGTTTCTGTAACCCAAAGAATTTTCCTGAGTTTCATATGTTAGGGCCTAGATTTTACCCTTCTTTTTTTCCCCAGGATTTGTTCTGCAACAGGTTGCCCAGAGAAGCTGTGGGTGTTCCATCTCTGGGGCACTCAGGACCAGCTTGGATGGGATCCTCAGGAGCCTGGTCTGTTGGGTGGCAGCCCTGCCCATGGCAGGGAAGTTGGAACCAGAAGATCCTGTCCAACCTAAGCCATTCCATGATTCTATTTGATTTTGAGATTTTTTCCCTTGTATTACTTGTGAAAGTAGTTTATTCGTAATTTGATTATTCAGGGATTAAGGAGGAAGTATAATGATAGATTGAGATGTGAGGTTTAACACATAATGAAAGTTGTGGGAGTCTCTACATTAGATAAGCAAAAATACTTGTGATGAAAGATGGAACTTTTGTCAAATTTGCAGGGGGCTGTACAGTAGAATCCTAAAACAGCTTCAATTTTACTTTGTGACTGTTTTTCAGTTGCAGGAATGGCAATGAGTTTGAACTGTGAACTGAACCACGTTACTCCCTTTCCCATCACCATTAAGAACATCATTAACTCAGAAGCTGGCAAGTGGGACCTCATTGTTCTAGGAGATATGTTTTACGATGAACAACTTGCTGATGATCTTCATCACTGGCTGAGGAAATGCATCAGGATACATGAAACTGAAGTGCTGATCGGTGACCCTGGCAGGCATCAGTTTTTAAGCCACAGCATTCACAATCAGTTGCATAAAGTTATAGAGTATTCCCTTCCCGAGTATACTAGACAAGAAAACAATGGATTAACATCAAGTATTGTCTGGAGTTATCAGCCCTCAAATAGCCTAGAAAGCTGTTAAAAGTGGCTCTCTAATGAACTTTGTCTCACGTGGCTGTTTCCTGAGTATATAAAATGGGAATTGAACGTGGAACACGTCTGTTGACACAAGGCAGGATGTTCCTTCACCGTGCTTATTTCAGCCATGTTCATTGAGGCTTTGGCTCTGTTCAAGGTAAAACTACACGCAAACTTTATTCAGCAAGGCGTGCTGAAGTGCAAATCCAAAGATAATTACACTTTGGAGTTTGCTTGCTTGATGTTTTAATCTGTGTTAATCTCACTCTTTGACACCATTGTGGAACGTTTTAGATATCCAGTACACCCCGTGAAGAGACAGGAGGGTTGTTGAGAGATGACTGTGCTGCTTTCACACAGTTCCGCAGCTTATTTACAGAAAGGTGTGAAAATGAAAAATGTAAAGATGTAGGTTATTGTGTTATATATTTAATTCCAAGTGCCTTACTTTTTTTTTTTTTTTTTTGTTAATCTCTTCTGAATGTCCAAGTAACTAATTTGAGGCTCCCCCTTCCCTCTAAAATAATAAAAAAAATAAATGCTGCTCTACCTTGAAGCTGTCAAGAACGATTATTTAGGAAGTGGCAACTGAATCTAAAACATGCTGCTTGTGCTGTAGCCAAAGTGTTTAATGACTAGACAGCCACAGAGTAACAATCCTTCAAAGAGAACATTTAAGCACATCTATGTTCTCCAACACTGCAAGCATAAAAAAAAGATAGTTGATTTGTGATGGAAAACAGACAGGCTGAGGCTGGAAGGGACCTCTGGAGGTCGTCAGGTCAAACCTCCTGCTCAATAGGGACACCCAAAGTGGTATGCTCAGAGGACTCTCTACGCACCTTCTAGAGATCTCCAGGCAGGAGATTCCACAACCTCTCTGGCAACCTTGTGTCAGCTCTCTGTTACCTGTACAGTAAAGAAGTGTGTCCTGATCAGCTGTAACTTCAAAGCAAACAATGAAGACGTTTTGCAGTTAGCTACACAATAAGCAGCGGTAGGGAGCTAAACACCAAAGAAGGGAACACGATGCGCCCACAACTATCCAAACCCCACATGATGATGTGGTAGAAGCTTGTAACTATGAAAAAGTGGGTGGCACTCAGAAAGAGAGACTGCTTACAAAATAGGAAGTGAACACTCACACAAATATGACATTCAGACATCATAAAATGCATCTTAACACGTTTTCAGAAATATCCAAACAGAAGACTTACTGGCTTTAATATTCAAAGCAATATACAAATATTTGACAGTGCTCACTCAAGAATCTACAACAGTAACACAAAAGCACAATATCAAATATGAACTGGTAAGCACATACACAAATTTCATCTCCAGCTTCACTCCTCCACTCTTAAACATCTATTAAAAATGACTGTGTCTCAACCTGAATCAAAAATGATTCCAGTAGAAGGATGCTAGTAACAAACCTCTCAAACAGCAGTCTTGAGCTCTGGAAGTGAAGGACTGACTGAGACTCAAAATTTCAAGCCTAAGAATGCAGTATTACTCATCACACTGATGTACTGTTTTTTTTTTTTTAAAGCACAAAGTGAGGTACAGCACTAAGTTACACATTCAGAAAAGACTGCAGAACATTGAATCTGCATGCACATTTAAGGACAGTGTAAGCTGCATTTGCCTTTAATGTGACAAATCCAGAGTTACATTAGCAAAGGGCTAGCACTGTAAGTGTCCTTTGCCGTTACAGGCCTCAGTGGTCTTCCACCTTAAGCTGCTTTATATATTTCCATTTATAATTTTCTTTTTGACTGTAGCACTTGAGAGATTTAGTCAGAGAAAGCCCTGAGTTCAGAGGCTGGCCTCAGAGCTGGCCTTGATTTGGGCAGGAGGCTCCTGGAGCCTCTTCTCACTTCTGGTAGCTAATGATGCCACCTCTTTTTGTGGCACCCTTCCTGAAATCAGACACAACAGATCAATTACTTCATGCAAGAAGAGTTAGAGATTTATGTTCCCGAGTTTTGGAATTATGCTTTCAGTTACACATGAACAAGTTTTCTAAATGGACTTGCTCTTCCATTAGCCATATAATCAAGAGAGAAGCAGAGATCCTTGTCAGATACTGTAATATCCTTTAACAATACTGGATGCATTATCTTCCATGCCTTTTGTACTGTACTTTAAATAGGTTAGTAGAAGACACTTTTATTTCTGCAACATTTAAAATCAGCATGAGCTAAAACAAGCACTAAATTCTAAAATAAACACTCTTTACTGTTGTCTAAACTCAGTCATTTTTGAAAGTCATCAGATCTGAGTAAGACCTGCCCAGCTAAATCCTGCTATTTCCAAACGTGGAATATCAACACAGTGTGCTGTCTGCTCTCTGCACTGCTGAAGTTACATTTTTAGAAGTTTAATGCAGAAATCATATAGGTCTCACTGTAAGCTCTACTGCTTCAACAAAGCCAGTGAGCATGACTTGTAATTATGATGAAAACACAGTTCTGTCACAATCAATTCTATGCTTACAATTTTTTTTAAATGACTACAGTCAAACAATACATAAACAGACATTTTCATCTTCTAGAGGCCACTGGAGATGTGATAAACTGTATAAACCAGAACACAAACTTCGCTGAACTCTTCTGTCTCAAGATTCATGTACTCCAATGCTAAACGTGGTCTTACTTCACTCCTAGCCATGCTTACAGAGACCAATGCTTTGTTCCCTCCAATGATTTCGCAATAGGAGAAAGCCAGAGCAAATGAGTATCATATAAGATTATTTTATCAGCCATCAGCACTATTCTGAGATTTGTTAAACACTACAATAATTCCAAAGATCTTCTGTGTTTGCATGTTTCAGACCGTAGTTTTAGATGTGTAAGAGTTCTGTAAATACCAATGGTAAATAAAGACAGAAACCTGTAACATCAATAACATCAAAAGAAAGGTACGTACAGTTTTTTCCTCCAGACAAACAAGCTATAATTATCCTCTCAGCATAAAAACTCAGAGCAGGGACTTAGTAAGACCAGGTCTGTGTAGGTAGCTCAGATGCTACAACATGCTTAATAACAGCCAAATCTGATTGCTCAAGGAGGCTGAGAGATGACAGTGTAACGCTGACTGTAATTTAACTTTCCTTTTAACGAATCATGATCAGTGCTGCAAAGACAGACAGGGCTCTTAAGCAGTCGCTAGGAAAGCTCAGACTCGCACTCAAAGACCGGAATGGCAATGGAGACCTCTGGTGGGAAGAAGCAGAGAAGCAATCTGCAGGTACAGAAGTCACCAGCTGTTTATTAGAGGTGCTTGTTTCCTGAAACAGCTCTCCTAACTGTAAACTTTACACTCATACATAAGCAGGCAAAAAACAGTCAGTAAACGGTCCACGTCACTTGCTTGATTTTGTTTGAGATCATGAGCTGCCTTAAAACATCTTGTGAACGGCCTACAAAAGAGAAAAAGATATTGTTATTCCTTCAGAATAACATACGGGTGCTGTTTAGAATCGGGTTAACAAAATAAACTAATTTTATCTGCATTTATGCTCCACTTTTTAATGCACATAGAAAATGAACACAGGAAGGACACAGATCATCACTGTTCTAACATCTTGTCCTGTACTCACAAAAAAGTACTTTACTCTCCCTGTAAGACTAAATTTCTGTTTTAAAAATAACTTCATGACAACTTCACAGTTAATTTTTTTAAAAGAGAAACTCAGTCATAGAGGGAAATAAAACGCAAGATGCAACAATGAAGGCCACTTTTGGCCTTAACAAAGCACTTCTCATGCTGTTAGGCACTTCATGTTCTTTTGCATGAGCAAATTTTTCTGAATCCAAAGACAATAGTTCATTTCCTTCAAAAAAATTTTACCCCATTACCCTCCACAGAAGACTGAAACTGGGGCCACACCGATACCATTCCATCTTGGTTATTCATAACTGGTTCATAGAATCATACAATCTGTGATTAAGTGTCTTACTCTTAGTATCAGTTTCAATAAATATGTACCTGTTGCATTAATACAAAGTTTAAAAACAATCATTTCAACCACGTCAGACTCAGTAAAAGCAAAGTTAGGATTCCTACAGCAGATGTAATTCAACTCTCTTAAGCATATTTATCACTGTGAAACACTGATCATATTTTTCTGACTCACACCTCATATTTTTCTGACTTTGTAGGACTTTGTTCTAGATTGCTTTCATAAGAAAGTAAAAAAAAAATATCTAGTTTCATATAGAATATTTATTAATCTACAAAGTCTGATGTCAGACAAGCAATGGGAAAATTTGTAACGTGTTTAGAAAATCAAGAGATAGCCTGACTTGACCCACCTGTTATCAACGGGCATCCATGGAACAGAAAAGTGCGTATCTTTGGACAACAAGTGAGCACTGCTTCCACAGCAACATCTGTCAGATTAACACAGCATTCCATATGGATTTCCTGTGTTAAGAAGACAGTAATAATAATAATATTAAAAAATGCCTACCAGAGCACTCTCAGTTTTGGAGGTAAAGCTTCCATTTCCCCAGTGCTTTCAGAGATTCCTCACCCAGAAGAAGTTATGACCTACTGTTCCTCACTGCATTGATCCCTTATGTGGTTGTGTACAGACCAGCAAAACACTCTCAGGAAAAAAAAAAAAAAGAAAAAAAAAAAAAAAAAAAAAAAAATCAAGACAGCTTTTTTAGTTTTGACACCACAAAAATCTAAACCCATAAATTTAACTTTTCTCCAAATGCATGCATTATTCAAGAGACCTGAAAAAACTTTTCTGTGAGATTCCACAGAGTTTGAGTCCCAACAGTTTTCCTATCACACATTCTCCTACCAGTTTGTTTTCATACAGGACAGAATGACTTTCTTCCTGGCAGTTTTCTTCCATTTGGCTTTGACAGGTTACTATCAAATGTCTGTTGTTCCTGTTAAAAATCAGTGTTCTCCAGGTTACTTTTTACATCAATAAACACAACATATAAGAAGAAACGCTGAGAATAAAACATCAGAGCTAATGAAAATAGTATCTGGGAATATATTCTTCAGGCACCCCAACAAAGCACTGTTTAATTGTGAAGTCTCTTTCCAAACCATGAGCTCCAAGGATCTTGAAAGGGCAAGTAAATGAAAGGGAGCTTTTGCAATAAATGTAACCTTGAACAGAATGACGACACAGAAAGTGAGAACTGTATTCACTGAAGCAAGAAATACAGAAGCTGGTGTTGGTGTGTTTGTTCTTAGTTCATTACAAGCAGTAAGTGAAGTGCGGAATCTGAACGCCTCCTGAAGTACAAAGATTTCACAATCTCGCTACTTGCTAGCTTGATTACTTGAAGACACTACTTATTGCACCCGTGCCTGACACTGGACCACTGCCTATACATTTTGCACGTTACTTTCATGACGTGAAGCAGATGTATAAGGATCAGGACATAGATAAGGAAGAGAGACTGAAGAAGAGACTAACAAATAGCGCCGCATTTTCCTTTCTTTTTGTCCCTGCTTGTACAGACCTAAACTTCTCTAGTTCTGTATACTGATAGAACACAAGTTTTGTTTTTAAATTATGTCATTCCACGTAATGATATAAAAGCTTGCTTTAGTAGAACTGTCAACAAAAACCCACCTAAATACAAAAGCATCTGAATGTATGGTTTTTAAAAAGACTAAAAGCACAGGAACATGTTATTAAGCACAGCACAGCAAAGAAACAAAATCCACACTACTACTCAGTCTATTTCCTTCTGTAATTCATTTGTTAGTAGATTTGATAGTTTACCTTTAAATTCTTTGAACACATTCCGTTCACTAGTGCTATAACACCATCATCTGTTACCTAGAAAAAAAAACAACACTTATTAACACATTGGATTAAAGCTCCATTTTTCAAACATAACTATTTGGGAAAGACTTCTTATATTAATTTATACTCTCCCTACAGTCACTTAATACATCTAACAGGAATGTATTTTCTTCCAAACTAGGTTTGCAGAGAAAACTATCCAAGTATATTTTTTCCCCATCTATTAAATACTTGCATCATACTACATACGTGATTCAGCCCAGCTGTGGAACTGCTGTGTCTGTGGCTTTGTGGGCTCATTTAACAGTGGGTGTATGGCATTTTTAATTTATAAGCCCTAAAGCACTTCTGCTCTATGTGAACTAATTTTCCTGCTGTTTTCACGACTGCTGAAAATGTTCCCTGCTGGAAACATTCATGAAGGAAGCATCTTGGGTAGGAAAAAAAAAAAGAAAAGAAAGAAAAAAAGAGTAATCACAGCAGTCTTTTATCTGTAGTCCTACTTTCACTCACGTGGAAGCAAACCAGCTAATTAGCACAAAATTCCCTCAAACGAACAGTCTTTCAGCACTCATCATACACTTGCACTAAAAGGTTTTATCAGATTGGCTATTGAAAACCACAAAGCAATGATTATCTGCAAGAGAAAAAGAGAGGCACAGAGGGCTTTCCTCAGAAAGGCAAGTAAGAACAATTTAAATGTTCACTTCTGGGAACTAAATTCATTAAAATTCCTCCTCATTTCCAATTGGCCTTGTATTACTGCAGTCACCAAACACACATAGTGAGATTCAGCCCAATTTGACAGCTAGAATTCGGATACCACAAGCTCCATTTCTGTTTAAAGATTTGACTATTTCCATTGCACAAATTGTCTTCTTGGCTACTGGCCATCTATTGCAAATTGGCTGTACAGAAAGGATCAAACCAGTGCAAATGAAGAATTAATGACTTGGTGTGAAAGTACAGAAAGGGCAATACGAATGGCAGTGCCTAGCTCAACACGTTTAGTTTCTCAAGACAGCCACAGCAGGAGACAAAGGACAGTAAACAAATACATTCTAATAAATTCCTTATGTGGGACAAAAGCAGAGAGATTAATCACTGTAATTTCCTAAAGGGCCTAAGATGGTACATCTAAAACCAGTACACAGTCACCAACCTAAGAACAAACCAAGTTAAGATTTGACAGCTGTGCCTCTTCTCCTCCATGTCATCAAAAGAAACCTGGACCAGACCTTCTAGCTGGTGCCTTAACAACCCCACAAACCATCTGAACTCTGTCTTTATGATTGTGAATATATTAAGCACTAAACCAGCTTTTATTAAAACAAAAGCCTCCTCCCTTCCTTGCCTTAAGTACTGCTATACTTAGCAGCGTTGCAGTACTGTTTCATACTCTATTGAGTATCCATTTGCACTATTTGTAATACTACATATGCTCTCGTATTAAAGATTAGCCATCTATGGTTAATATCAAGCCACAAATACATCGGGCTCTTGGTGTAGATCAGTCACCAAACTCCTGTACACGTAGCAAAGGCTTAGGTTACTCAGGTATCAGCAGTCAAACACAGAAACAACCCACCCCTATTCTACGTGAGAAGTGCCTGCACAGACAGAATACCTAACCAGCAACACCCCTGCTCTTGCCAACACATTTTGCAGAAAACTACACTGCCCTGCACAGAAGTTTGCACAACCATTTCAGAAAGATTCTTCCTACAGTTATTTGCCATATACTGAATCACTGAAGATTACAGAGGAAATGTACTATTTAATTTGTGTAGGGACTGGGACTCTAGAGCCCGTGTTCCTACCTGTTGACACTACTGGGATACAGGACAGACTAGAAGTAGTGCAGTAGGCACAGAATTTCAGTATAAAACCTAACTCCTTAGAATGATAATGTAAACATACTGACACCTAAGCATAAGTAGCTTTCTTACACAGCTCTGTACCAGCATAGCAGAGCTTTTTCAGGCCAAGTTTTTATTTATACACTCTCTGTATGCAGGAGTGCAGAGCTACACCTTCTTCTTACTCATTTCTTCCCTTGTTTTGCCCACCCCATTTGTTCTTATTTGTGTCAATCTTCCACTTCCTGTATTCCATCTCTCCACAGTCACCACATGAGATTATTTCTAAAAGTGCTGACACCACTCTGAGCCATTTGCCCCTTTGCAGCCTATCCTACATCTGTCTCCTTGTTCCTGCAGCAGGCTGTGGGCCCTTCTTTGCTGGCTCATCTATTTCCAGATTTCTCACTGTTTTACTCTTTCATGCACATTTGCCACTTTCACTTCATTCTTATTATTCATTCTGGCACACAAACACAAGGATGTGGTTATGTCTTGCAGTCTCTATAGGCACGACCCACTAAATCTCTCTCCTTTAGTCTGCTTATCTGTAACTGGCAATGTCACAGAAGATGTTAAGACTGTTTAATTGATACTTACTATGTTTCATTTAGTCAAACTAAATTCAGAATTCTAGTGTTTTATCACCGTATGACCAATAGGAAAGAACAAAAGGTGTTCAAACATTTACTTATTCAAGAGGAGTTCATCCCAATTAAAACACATACCAGGAAACTTGTTGTAAGAGGTAGATTGTGTTTTTGCAGCAGAAGTTTCCAGTATTTTCTGTATGCAATGTAGGCCTTTACTGAACTTACAAACCTTCCTGTGAAACAGTTGTATATGTTACTGATACATAAAGAAAGCTGATGAATAGAGTGAGAATAGAGAATGGGGAATAATGACTCGGGTAGGATTGAGATAGCATAAGATAATGAAAGCAAGCAGGATGGGGAGAGCCCAGCACAGGACAGGACGAATGCACTAACTTTGAAATACTGCCCTCCTATCACAGTACAAAGCAGAACGGATGTGCTAACTTTGAAATATCTCCAATATTTCAAAACATACAAAGCACACCTAAAGACAACAATTTGGTAACAGTCCTTATGTGGAGATGTACCATAGCAACAGCATCGGGAAGACTGTGAGCCTGAGACACTCAACCAATGGGCACCAGGAGAGATATTACCTGTGTCAGGCCCAGGGTATATAACAGAATCAATTTTATTAACTAGGCATGCAATTTCTCCCTTGCCAGTATGGAGGTGTGCAACCACTACTGCAACAATGAATAAACTTTGCTGCTATCACTAAAATACTTGCCAGACTAGAAATCTTTAATTTTAAGTGTGTTTCTCACGTTACCTATTTCATGGACAGGAAGAGAGGAAATAGGAAAGGGAACTGAAAATCAAGAAATAAGCTTGAAGAAACAGACTTCAATGATAGTAATAAAAATTACCACAGAAAAAAATGACTTTTGATGCCCTACTTCAGGAAAAGCTTCAAGGAGAACAACAGCACCTAAAATACAAACCTGTCCCATGTTTTCCATATCTGATGCTTCATTATGAATGCTCCACGTAGGACTCATGCTGAGCATAAAGTAATCACTCACCACTACAGTCAACCGAATGCTACACTTCATTATCTCAGAAATTCCTTTCATCCACTTCATTATCTAACCATAATTATAAAGCCTGTTCTAGTAGTGCTGTTGTATCCCAATCTCTCCTCCTTATGCTAAATAGCAACTGCTGCTAAATCCTCTTATCTGCTCTTTCCTACATTTTTCATGTCATTTTTCCCCTGTTGACTCCGTAACATAACTCTGATAAAGCCATTCAGAAAACACAATCACTCTTGAAGTAGAACTAATTATGGACTCTTTGCTGACAGTATGGGTATGTATAGTTGAACAATATATATTATTACTATTCAGGTTTTGTTTGTCTTACCTGAAAGAACATACTAAGGTGTCCAATGTTGTACCCTCTTCTTATGAAGTATTTTATAAGTTGAAGGAAATGATTATACTAAATAAAGACACTGAAGTCTCCAACAGCATGTGGATTTTAATAAATGCATCTTTAGTCCTCAATGCATGCTATAATACCAAAATGTGTATTTTTCTGATTGCCAGAATGCAGAAACATGTATTTCTTTTCCTTAAGAAGGAATTTTGGAGATAATGAGATATAGCATTCAGCTGACTGTAGCCGTGAGTGATTATGTTCAGTGTGAGTCCTCCTCCTTAAGAAGAGAAAAGTGGAAACAAACCGTGGTCCTAAGCCTTATTAGGAACTGATCTAAAAAGATATTGTTTATCATGTTTAATAAAGATAATCACGCCAATCTTAAATAAATAACTAAATAAACCAAAGTCAGTGATAAGCTATTGCCATCAGAGTTACCTGAGTAGATGAAATGTCCACACTGTGAAGAAATTTACAGTTTTCTCCTAGCGCCTGCAGAGATGCATCCATGATGCCTGAGCAGCTGCCCAGGTTCAGTATTTGTAAGAACTGGCAATTGAGCGCAAGAGCAAGAACTCCACTGTCACTTATATTGCAGCACCTTGTAAAAGATGCTTCACACAAATAAGGGCAGGATAAGGCCAAGGCAGTGACACCTGTCAAAGAAACAGAATAATAAAAAAAAAATAATCAGTCACTGTAACATAATCACCCCACTGAAATCTTTGTGCTGTTCTCTGGTGGTCACTGACCGCTCAACTTTCATTCCATGCCACGTCAGCAAGATCCTGCACATGAAAATCATTTTGTGGTCACTTTTTTGTTTTGCTAATTGAAGGATAAGAAAAAATAAATTGACATCACCTAACAAGGGCAGAGACCTGATGAACGGTACTGCTGAAGAATGCCAGTGCTGATAAAGATTTCTAAAGCTGAATTCCGTAATGTAAACAAGATACCTGAGGGATGTTATCTACATAAAGATATCAACTCAGTGAATGAGTGGGAGAAAAAAAAACAAAACCAATAAACAATGGCTTGAGATACCTCTGGAAATGGTATGGTTGTAGTTGCATCATAGTTTTGGTGTAACAATGTCTGTTCATAAAAACTGAAGTATTTCAGCCATTTGGTCAACACGGTTACACGGACAGTAGGTCCAATGTGATCAATGGAAAATGCCATCATGCAGTCAAGTGAGAGAAAAGACAGGGGATGAGAAGTCAAGTTAATGAACATTATGCTGTGCTGGAAAACAGGCATGTGAAACTTGCAGAAACAGAAGATGGAGCAGCATCCTCCAACAGGATGGTGGTGGAGAGAGCTGCTCTAGAGGAGAAAGGAAATAGGATAGGTGATAGGCTGACATTAGAGAAACTGAGGAAGAAGCGTAATTTTAAAGATAATGCAGAATGATAAGGATAGATATTTAGATATTTTTGGATATTTTGTGAAATATTTTTGCTGGTCTATATGCATTGGAAATCCTTGCTAAGAAGTACTGACAACCAGAGCAAATCCAGAGAAAATAGCATGATAAGTTAGGGCTTTAAATGCAGATCTAGGAAGAAAACAACTCCAATGGATAGGAGAGTCAAGCTGAGATAAACAAAACTACAAAACCTTGACTGGGAGAAATCACAGCCAACTATACTATGCTGGTGGCAGGCAGAAAGAAGCACTAACTCGGGGAAACTGCAGCAATAGCTTGCTGGCTCCTGAAGAAAGACACATGCTGGAATGTTTGAACACCGGGGAACATTCATCAGGAAAGTGGTCTTACTTAAACAGTCTGCCCAAGTGATGAGGGAGGAGGAATGACCAAAACCAAGCACTAAAACCCCTTTGAACTGCAGAATGATTGCAGTAATTTACTCCAGTCCTCTCCACTTTCACACCAGGCCTTCATATACACACTTGTTAAGTTCAGATACAGAAAGATTTAGTACTGCCTACAGGATTATTAGTGGACAGGAAGACAAAGAGTTAAGTCCAATTAAGAACAATACTTGGTGTGGCACTACAATTAGCAAGAAGACAGTGCTTAGTAGCAGAGGATTAAAGTGTTTAAGTCAAGGAGCAGCAAGATCAGGGCTGCTCTCTAAGTGAATGCAAGCCATGAGCATAGGTTAGATACAACACAGGCAGCGCAGTGCCCTCAGCAACAGGCCGCAGCCCCATGGCACTGAGCTGTGTGAGCACAGCAGAGATGACACTACCAGGCCCTGCTGATGGCCCAGTGAACACCAGGCAACAAGGCAATGGGTCACATCCAAGGCAACTCAAAAAACCAGAATCAAAATAATAGTTCAGAAGGAGGACAGGAACCGTGACAGTTCACGTCAGGCCCGAAGGCCCATGGGCACCTGGTGTGATAAGGGTGGTCATGACACTGGTCATTAAGGGCTGCTGGTGCCCTCAGTGCCCTGCGGGTTGCCAACAACCAAAACATTTGCACAGAGGTGTCAGCAAGTAGCCAATAAAATCATAGAATCATATCGCAGAATGGCTTGGATTGGAAGGGACCTTAAAGCCCAATCAGTTCTGTGTGCAGAGCTGCCACCCAGCCCTCAGGCTGCCCAGGGTCCCAACCAACCTGGCCCTGAGTGCCTCCAGGGATGGGGTGTCCACAGCTTCACTGGGCACCTGTGCCAGGCCTTCACCACCCCAGAAATAACAAAAGTACATGAACTACAGATGCAGTTCAAGAAAGGAAATTATTTCAGAGATTATGGCAACATGGTGATTCCAGTTGTACAGAAAATTACATAATTTCTAGATACAAAGAAATAAAAAGTTGAATGCTATCAGTGTATGTTACTATGTGAGAACTTCAAAGCAACATGGATAAAAGAGTATTTGTTTGATTCAGAATTGGTTTACAGTAGAAAATATGGTAATGGCATGCAAATTTACAGGTTTCTTCAGAAAAAAAACCAAAAACCCATCAGTGAGATAGTAAAAGGCAACGTTTCTTTAAACTGCTTGTGTGTGTGTACACAATAGAAATGAGTGAATAAGAACTATTTTAACTTAAAAGTTTGGCAACTCTGTTTTTCAGTATATTAAGGGCTCTGCTTGTGAGTAGGAAAGTTAGCAAAGTTGAATGGAGTAGGAACACATCGTTGTTAACTTATTAACAGCAAAGTAATCAGAAATCTCTACCCAAATAGAGAAAAAAAATCAACACAAAGACCTCTGGGCTCAGCTGCTATCTTAAGAAATGTAGTAGATGTCAATGGACTGATGAATGCATGAAGGGGAGGCATGAAGGGTCTCCCTTCATGAAGGGAGAAGGCAAGGGAGACCCTTCATGCCTTAGGGGAGACCCCTAAACTGTCTCAGTGATCAAGAAGCACAACAGTGCAGGAACATTGAAAACAAGTAAATAAAATCAACTAAAAACATGTCACTGAAAGATAAGCACATCAATATGCAGTGCTAAGAAAATACAGACAAGGCTGATCTGAAGTAAGGTATATAGTAACTCTAAACGAATATTTAGCCTCAGTTTTCCAGTATGGATGAGCTAATGATGGAGCAAAGAAACAAGCATAATGAAAAGACAGAACAAAGGTTGTGGGAAATAAAAAGTTAGCAAACTTAATTCTTACAAGCCAATAGCTCTTGACACAACTTAAGACTGCAGGTTAAAAATAATACTTGAAATACCAAATCCTAAAGTAAGCTAAATCTTTCAAGTAAGAGGAAATGCTACAAACTCATTTACTGAAGAACAAAATGAAGTGAAAAATACCATTAAATGAACACCAGCTTTATCAGTAACCTGATAGCTCTCTTTCATAAGACAATCATCGTTCTAGGCCTATAGTTTACACCACTGAAGTTACTTTTAATTAGTATTGGTGTGGCACTGGGGACCTTTTAAAGCAAGAGTTACACTATGTATTTTTGCAATTTACTCCAATCTAAAAGAAAAATAAAACAGAAACAAGATCCCAATAATCTACACACAGATAACAAACATACCTTCTGAAGTGATTCCCAATCTGTCTTCTTTGAAGGAGTTCAAGTTGATTTTTTTCAATTGCTTGCAGTTATAAAGCTGCAATAATGCATTATCTGAAACATCACATGCTTGGAGGTCTAACGACTCTACAGCAGGGTGCAATACCTGTAACAAAAACCTGCTATGTCACAGAACTGCAGATTTTAATCCAAAATACTGGTAATGTTAGACATCACAAAGAACTTTTTAAAATACCCACTAGAGGATGGCGTTGTCAATCCTGACAATTAAAATCCATAAAGAGAACATGTTAGATTTGCCGCAACAGTTCACCTGCCACAGTACAAACGTTGCATTTCTGTGATAAATCTAGAGTAGGAGCACATTAACACTACTGTTTCAACAGCGGATTCCACAGTTGCTAACACCAGTATGTCAGTTATGTTTACCAGGGATAGTATTCTCAGATTGACTAGAAATTGGATGGCAGAAAGCTGAAGTGTAAACACTGATTACAAACAAATGTAACGTCTTAAGCAGATTTAAGCTGAGACTTAAAAAATATTTTGCCCCAGAGTATTTTTCTCACCCCCACACACGCAGAGGTACCAAATCCTCATTAAAGAGTCTCTTTAAATCCCACAAGACCACAGGTCTTCCTTTCCCCCAAAGTGCATTTATTAAACTTAGACCCAAAGTGATGGAAGGCCTCAGATTGTGGTAATAACCACGTATCTTACCTTTCATTTCACTTTCAGTGACTCTCATCACTTTTTACTAAATATTATTTGCAGTCCTCCTCTTCCCAGACCTTGTGTCACTGTGTGTTCTGATCAATAGGCAAATGTTAGATCATTACCTTATACTACCCCCTTCAGCTTCTCACTCCCTCTTTTAACTCACAAAGAACAAGGAACACTGTTCTTATGTTGTTCAAATACATATGATGCTGACATCTTTACTAGTGAAGCCAAACAAGCTTTCTGACAAGAAGGAAGAATTCTAGCAGACTGTAATTGCAACCTTCTTCCAATGTGGCAAACAGAAGGCAGCTTCAATTGTATTTTCTAAATACTAGAAGCCTCAAACACATCTGTTTATGCCATAAAACCTCCAACACGCTTGTAAGTAGTTTTCACAAGAGTCACATTCAATTTCTATTTCAGTTGTATTTCTGCATTTGTATCTCATGAGCTAATACCAAACCCAGAGTTGACATGCTTGAAGTCAAAGTGATCACAAAGTGATCATCAATGCTTATTGAAGATGCTTTCCCTGGCTATCAAGTTTCTTCCACAACTTCAACTTGCCCAGATCACCACAAAAGAGAGCAAACTGCTGGTTTTGAAGCCACGTGAGAAACCTCATCAGACATCAGAACCGTAAAACATGAAAAAGAACTATTAGATGTAGAGAGTTCTAAACAAGAAGCCACATTACTATACACTTTACTATACACTATACACTTTAAATAGCATTATTTAAAGTAGCTGGAGTATGAAGTTCCCCTAGCTGACTATTTTTCACACATTTAGTTATTACTTAAAGGTTTGCTTTCTGTTACTACTCACAGATTCATTTTCATTGAATACAGATACTAAAATCTAATTTGTCTCAAAGAGGTGGAATCATGGCCTGGAGCATCTCCCCTATGAGGAAAGGCTGAGTGAACTGGGTCTGTTCAGCCTTGAGAAAAGGAGACTGAGAGGGGACCTGATCCAGGTCTATAAATATCTAGGGTGTGGGGGGCTGAATGGCGAGGCCGGACTCTTTTCAGTGGTGAGTGGAGATAGGACAAGGGGAAATGGCCAGAAACTGCAGCATAGGAAGTTCCGCACAAACATGCGCAAGAACTTCTTTACAGTGAGGTGACGGAGCACTGGAACAGGCTGCCCAGGGAGGTGGTGGAGTCTCCTTCTCTGGAGATGTTCAAGACCTGCCTGGATGCCGACCTGTGTGACCTGCTGTAGGGAACCTGCTTTGGCAGGGGGGGTTGGACTCGATGATCTCTGGAGGTCCCTTCCAACCCCTACAATTGTGTGATTCTGTGTGATTAAGATAAAGACTGTTTGGATGCACAATACAGGAGATCAAAGTACAGCCTTATATCCTGTGGACAAATGCTGAAGTGCTTTATGTATCTTTATGGTAAAATTGAGCTGCAGTAAGGAGTTTACATCTCATGTAAAGCTGCTCCAAGCAAAAAGCAGAGTAAGGAAAAAAAGGATGGTAGAACAAGTCTGGGCAAGAGCAGGATGAGGTGAATAAAAGCTAATGGATAAATGCAAGCAAACAGAATTTCAACTACAAGAAGTTAAAACTGTAAACAAAATGCTGGACAACAGCAAGGAATAAACAGGCACAAAAGCCAATCAATCATCACAGCCTGGAAAAATCCAAGAGAACAGATCTGTTGAGAGTATAAAAGAAAAGAGCAAGAGGGAAGCAGTAGCAAAGACGGAAAATTCCTTATCCATATAGAAGAATTGAGATTTTGCAAATGTTCAGAGCATAAAATATTTGGTTATGCAAGCAAGGAACAGTAAGAGCTGAACTACTTAAGGTGGTTTTGCTGTGCTGAACAGAAAGCATACCTGCAAGATGAAAGAACATGAATGCTGAATAGCATGGAGAAACAGTATAATTTCAGAATCATAAAGGTGGTTAGCATTTAAAGAAAAGCACAAATGAAATAAAAGTAAACCTGGAAACTGTTAGGAAAGAAAGCTAAGATAAACCACGCTCGAGGAAAGTGATTATAGGAAACTGCAGGAACAGAGAAAGGAAACACACGAGAAAAATAACCAAAATGAAATATTCAAGTGAAAAAACAGCTCCAAGAAAAGGCAGTGACCAACTGCTGAGCAAAGACAGATGAGATTTTACAAGGAGCCAGAGGAAAAATTATAATTCAACTCCCCAGTTTCTTCTCAGATTAAAGATATCTTAATGTCTTTGAATATTTATACATACAGTCATACAGTTATAATTATATGCATCTCTCATGATGCTTAGAAAGGATTACATAGTGAAAACAGCCAAAATCAAATTGTGTCAACACCAACTCACCAAAATGACATAAAGAACACTAGAGAATTTATTATTTTTTACAATGAAAAATGATGCAAACAGAAGATAAAAAGGTTTGTTTGAAGGTTTTCCCACAGTCCTTTTAATTCTCCTCCACACTTTATTTTCACTGTTTTGGCTCTGTGGAACTGATACTGTGTCTCTTGGGAACTGCAGCTCAAAAAAGCTACGAACAGGGAGTCATTCATCTTCTGCTCACCAAGGTCAGCCTTTAGCTCTCCTCAATTCTCACACTTCCCTTCAAAGCCAAACAAGATAACAGTGGATGGATACTGAAACAGATGTGCCTCTTAATTTACAGCCAAAGAAAAGTCATTTGCTGACGAGCAAAAGTGGTTAGAGAAGTTGAACCATCAGTTTTGAGCTCTAGCACAATCATATTTCAAAGAATGACAATGAATCTTAATGTCAAGAGTGTGACAGAAACTTAGCAAGTTCCTGAAATCTTTTACCAGATTTTGCACTGGCTTCTTGAAACACACTACAGTCTCTAGCATAACCAGTTTAAAACAGCCTACTCTGCAGTACTGAGAAGAGATTATGTTTGTCAGCTTATTAAAGAGAAGTAAATTGTCACTGACTGGAAAGTGTTTTTCATTTACTTACCCATACAAATGTATTTTGTATAAGCTTTATTATTTTTAATACATGACTGTTAGCATTACAAAGTGTAGGGAAAAGAACAAGAAAAAAGTGAAGATAGGGACAGCCCTGAATTCATCTGTTGTCACACATAAGGAGTTACAGTTTAGTTCATCCTTATGGATTAACTACCACAGATGGAACAGTTCTAACAGTTCTTAGTGGGTTCTTACCTCACTGATGTTTGAATCTGTTATTTGCCCTTGTCTACTCATTAATTTAATTAGTTTATCCTTAACGTTGGGTGGCAATGTCTTGATATCTCCAGTGTATCTGGAAAAGTTCTTTATCAAATACTTAACGCACCTGAAATATAGGAAAGTTACACAGTCAAAAAAGGCATCACATATTAGAAACAAAACAATTAACCCAAAAGCTGGACCTCATTGGGTCCAGCTGTTCCATACAGCCACAAGGTATTCAAATAGTCTCATCAGCAACAGATATCTTGGAAACTCAGATGCCCTGGGCTGAGAAGTAAGGCTCTCACAGGAACAACTGGCTGAAATCCTATTGCAATCAGAAACACCAGTTGGTTTGAATCAAAATAGACATTCTTTTCTTAGCAATAGCTAGGCCTCCTTCTCCTTCGCTCTCGTTCTTCAAAACATTCATCAACATGAAGAAAACAGCCTGATGCTCCTACACAGCAGGCTAGAGATTCTGAACTAACAGTAACACCAACATGTACCGTTTCACCCACATTTTCTGTATGTGGGTGCCATGATTCTGCCCTCTGTGTACCTTTTGTATCAGAGGTCCAAAACTGTTTCTTTGTTCTGAACAACCTCTCCCCCTTGCCAGCTAATCAAACTCAACTTACATAAGGCTTCTATCAGGAGGTAGTGCTTTGCTAAAACACTGTATGTTAATCTCAGAGAAACACAGGGCTCAAGTATCTGTGTGAACCAGGAAGAATCTTCACTTTTGCAGCTTCGGGTTGTTAAAATCACAGGCTCACTGAAACAACAGAAGCAATTTTTGGGAATGCCTTCTAAGCACCTTGAGCAGACTGACCTTCAGATCATCAGCACTCACTGGCACACGTAGAGACAGCTAGTCCCTAAAGAAGAAACTTTCTTTGTCTCTGCAGGGAAAGATTATGATGAAAAATTAAGTCCCTCGGTAAAACAAGGCAATTAGTTAGCATGAATCCAACCCATATCCAGAGACAAAAGGTAACACTTTGTCTTCCAGGAAATTACAGGACTTTAAAAAGCATTACAGTAGAGCAAAACCAAAACTAGGGAAGGATATCTCCCCACCACGCCCTGTTACTTAATATGAGCATATGTAATCAGTGGAGTGCCCTAAACTGAAAGTTCTATCATCTGCTGACCATAGCTACCTGAACTAGATTCCCTATCTTCATAGATCTTGATAACTAATTATTTTACAAGCAATCCAGCTTACATCAAGTTACATCACATGTAAAAGAAAAGCAGAACAGATGTTAGAGCTTGGGCACATCAGAAGAAAAGAACCAGAAGAAAGGAAGCTAAAACAGACAAGCAACTAAATTAGATACATCTTCCTACATTCTTTAAGATTAGGTAACTTATATTCACAGCAAGACCACACAAGGGAGCTCTGTTTTGAAACTGAAGCTCTTTCAGCACTCCGTTTTTCTACATGCAGATGCAGCCATCTGCAAACGTTCTGATACCTTCCTTAAGGTCTCAGCTTTCAAACACACTGACAGTCTGGGGGAAGTGCTGACCTGCAATGGGCTGGCCATCTGTTAATGCTGTCTATGAACAACTCAGGGAATGATCAAATCTAAGCAATTCCTAACTGCACGAGCAGAACAGTTCTTTACAGTGTGGTGACAATCTTAATTAAAACACCTTAAAACGTGCTATTTGGCTTTTGTTGCTCTAAGAGCCTCATTTTTGACTGTAGAAACTGGCTTGGTTCTGAGCATGTCTGGGCATGAACAAATGATCTTAAAACACCTGCCAGAGCTCTGAGAGCCTCGGCGCAACTACAGCTGTTACCTGCCCCAACTGCCTCCACCTCCCTGCTAAATGCCTCCTTGGCAGGCCCTAGAACTCCTATGCAGTCAGCCTGCAACCAAACATAGTATGTAAACCAACCACAGGCTTACCTTAATGTGCCAGCCTTTAAAGTGCATCAGCTGTCTAAGTTGGTCATTTCTCACCTTGGGAATAGTAAACTTCAGAAAACAGAAACTGATACAGGATGTAAAATGTAACTTGAAAAAAAAAAAAAAAGTTTCTAAATATTTTTTATATGATGCTCTCATGCTAAAGAGGAGTGAACTCCAGAGTGCTCCAATGCTCTTTTGGGGTGGGAGCAAAGGGCAAAAAGGGCAAAAGCAGTAAGCAGCAGCAGAAACACCTGTATAAATGCACGTTAAGTTTGAAGATCTTACAAACAATGCCCTTATTAAAGGAGTGCTGCACATACACAGATTTGTTTCAACTTTCAGTTTCTGCTGCAAGTTCTGCTAGTTCAACACCGGACCCAAGGGCCTAAGTAACAAGCTTAAAGCACGGATGGCCATCACCTGATTAGAGTGAGATACAACGCAGTACACTAAAATAATACACATCTGAGGGTTTTAAAATGTAATTGCGAGTGTCAAGTAGTAATCCTACTGGTACAATGGAGAAGATTGCTGCAGTGTTACTAATAAAATAGCATTAATATCTGTATAACCAAGATGTTATAATTGCAATATAATCAAAAGAGTAAGGCAAAAGCAAACAAGGATCGCAAAAGAGAATAAGTAGAAGAGCTTACCCTTGGGTTGAGCTCACTAGAAGATACCAAAAGAGGAGGATCTCCAGAAGAGATCCTTCCCCTCTGGTAGCCAGCTCTTAAATAGGTCCAGGAGGGGTGGAGCCAGGCTCCACCCCTTCCGGCAGCACAGATGAATTGCCTTCACCTGTATTCCTCTGGCTGACTCAAGGCTCACCTCAGGTGATTAATCAGAGGTTCAGGCCGTGACTCAGCAGTTCCCATACACTCCACCCCTTCACGGCGTGAACCAATGATCAGGTTAACAAAAGGGTAAGCTTTCCCTAATACAGAGATCCGGTATATCGCGACGCTTATACAATTTTATCGCGACGTATATTGGTACAGTTCAAGACAAGTGATGATTAGTGGATGTCCATACTCTTCTATGGGCCAGTGCTCGATGATGTGCCTGGAAGCATGAGGTCCTGAGGTGCAGGTCCATTCTATGTTCCGTCAGTCCCATGCAGACCATCACCGGGTGTTGTACGTGATCTGACAGCAACACTGGAACGCTTGATGGCATTTTGTTCCTTCCGGTGGTCCTGAAGGCTCACAGACTCACGGGGAGTAATACAGATGTTTTACAGGTACCAGGAGGGGAAGGTCTGCTCTCCAGGGCAAGATACAGGCCGTATTTCTGTCTTGGGTCAACACTTCCGCTTGTACTGGGGCACGTCCTGGCTGCCTGTACCACACCTTTTGGCCGGATATCTGCGGCTGCATAACGATATCAGGCACCAAAGGAGGTGTCCTGATCTGCCATAGGGACATGATGGGGGTCCCTTTAGCAATAAAGATCGGAGTGTTGACCATAATATCAGTAGGCCATGTACCTATTACTGGAGGGACTACTGAGCCTCCCACCTCCAATAGTCTCCCCCAAGGTGCAAGTAGGCCACACCACTTGGGTCCTACCTGCACCTTCCAGGGCCATTTTATTTTATGGGTACCTGGCTCTAAGTTTTCAGGGGCAGGGAGCAGAAGATTATTTTCATTACCAATCTGGGGTCTTACCTGATGATCAGTGCCCGTAATTTGGATCCTAAGCGGGGTGGCCCATGTCGTCTGCAACATTCTCAGGGCACTGGGTCTGCCATCTCGAGGTCTTTCATTCAGGTCCCGCAGGGTTTCATACAGTCTTTTTGTCCACCCCTGCAAGGACTGGGAGTCTGTCTTCAGGGCAGCCTTAAGAATACCATTATAACGTTCGATGAGGCCTGCCCCCGTTGGATTATATGGCAGGTGGAATCGCCATTCGATGTTATTTTCTTCTGCCCAGCGCTGTATCGTTGCACCAGTAAAATGAGTCCCTTGGTCGCTCTCGATGACTTGAGGTGTCCCATAGGCAGACATCAGTTTAGTGAGTGCCTTGATGGTATATGCCTGGTTTGCTTTCGGTACTGGATAGGCCTGCAGTAGCCCACTTGCAGTGTCAACACAGGTCAGGGCATATCTTGCCCCTTCGGAACGAGGAAGGGGCCCGATGTAATCGACCTGCCATCGCTGGAGAGGATTGTGTCCCCTAGCAAGATGGGCTGTTGTTTCGGGCAACGATCTCGGTCTCATCTTGGAGCAAGCGTCGCAATCCTGGCATGCCTGGACGATATCAGATAGTTGTATGGGCAGTCCCCATGCTTTAGCAGCTGCCCACATTGTCTTTTGTCCAGCATGCCGTAGCTTCTGATGTAACCAGCGGGCGATGTTCTCAGATGGTGAATTCTCAATCCATCGAACTCGGGCCAGTGTGTCGGCTTCATCGTTTCCCGGTGACTGTAGGGGCTGATGACCAGAAACATGGTAGACACGTACAGTCCTGTGTTTGACCGTATTCCATATATCTAACCACATGTCTTTGCCCCAGATCGGTCGGGCGTGGATAGTCCATTCCTGGGTGGCCCACTGTGCAATCCAAAGAGTGAGCCCCCGGTACACAGCCCAACTATCTGTGCAGATGTTCAGGATACCATCACCGGGTTCCTTGGTTATAACCATCCACACGGCTCGCAGTTCTGCCCATTGGCTGCTCTGACCATCCCCCTCATCGAACCAGATTGTCTCGGTGGAAGGATGGTATGCTATTGCTCTCCACTTGCTCGGGTTGCCCTTGCTGGACCCATCTGTGTACCAGGCATCTTCAGGGATAGGATATTTTCCCTCCTGAACGGGACTCTTCTCTGGTGGAGCGACCAGTATTTCTTTTGGTGCATCACTGTGATACGTAACTGGGCCTAGGATCTTCTGGAGTTCTTCTTTCAAGGGGGATGAAGACAGACTGCTCCTTTGGCTGAGATAGGCGACCCATCGTGCCACTGTTTGTGCTTGGGCCACCCCTGTCTTAGGAAGGTGGGTCAGATCTTTCACCCACCCCTGAATTGGCAGAGTGGTCTTGACTATAACTGCAGCTGTTTGAGTTATTGGCTCTACTGCCTGTAATGCCGAATAGGCAGCCAATAACTGTTTTTCAATCATACTGTATCTTTCTTCTGCTCCGTGCCAAACCTGAGACCAGAAACCAATGGGGGTCCGAACAGAACTCTGGCGTTGCCACAGGCCCCAACTGAAGCCGTCTTGAGTAACATGAACGTCCAACTCGGCTGGGAGGGTAGGATCGAATATACCCAATGCCTGAGCTTGTTTAACTGCCAGTTTTGCTTGTTGGAAAGCATCCTGTTCGGTTTTCCCCCAGTCCCATAGCTGCCCCTTTTTTGTGAGTCTGTATAGTGGCCTTAGCAGCTGCGCTAGGTGAGGTATAAAGGAACGCCAATAACCCAATATACCTAGAAACTCTTGCAGCTGCTTTGATGTTGTAGGGACTGGGAATGCCTGAACCTTATCTATAACAGCACTGGGTAGCACTTTGGTCTTTCCTGACCAAACCACCCCCAGGAATTTTACGGACAGACCTGGACCTTGCACCTTTTGGGGATTTATAGCCCATCCCCTTTGTTGTAAATAGGCAGTTAATGAATCTGCTGCCTGTCCTACTGCCTCCAGTGAGTCGGATGTCAACAGGAGATCATCAATATAATGATATAGGTTAACATCATCAGGTTTTCTCCAGTCAGCCAGGTCACGCGCCACTAGATTGTGACAATACGTTGGTGAATGCACATACCCCTGTGGCAGGACCTGAAAGGTCCACTGCCTGCCTCCCCACGTAAACGCAAACTGATCTTGCGATTCCTCAGCAATTGGGATACTGAAGAATGCATTTGCTAGATCTAGGACACAATGATAGGTTTTTATCTCCCTACTCAATGTGTCCATTAGGGAGGCAATATTGGGTACGGCTGCATGAATAGGCGGCGTGACCTTATTTAATTCTCTGTAATCTACTGTCATCCTCCATGTGCCATCCGACTTTCGCACCGGCCATATGGGGGAGTTATACGGGCTGTGTGCAGGTCTTATAATGCCCACTTTTTCTAATTCCTGCACCGTTCTCGATATTTCATCTTGCCCACCCGGGAGTCTATACTGTCTAACATTAGTAATCCGGCGCGGTTTCGGCAGGCAAACAGGCTCATGTTTCGCATGGCCTCTTAATATTGCCTGCACCGCCCGGATACTGATACATCTTTGTCGAAGTCTGAACTCTCCCACAGTTGTTTGGAGAGCCAGACCCCATAGAATGTCTATGCCCAGGATGTATTCTTGGACTGGGGCAATAGACACCTTGTACTCCCGGGGTGGGAGACGCCCAACCCCCAATTTTAACCATGTTTGGGTGACAGGAATAGTCTGTCCCCCAAAACCACCAATCATCACTCTGTCGCCATGAAATTTTCCCGGATCTCCATAGATAATTGATGTTTCTGCTCCAGTATCTACTAGTGCCATAACTCTCTGAGTATTTTTTCGGGACCAATAAATCGTTAATTCTACATAGGGCCTCCGGTCCCATCTGGAGGCCCTACGGGGACTAACATCCCTTGTCACTGCATGAATTGTGCTAGGGCCAGTTCTTTTGCTTCTGACGGCTCAGGCATTGTGGCCCGAGACACCTGAGGTGGCTTCTTTTTCCTGTTTGGAATAATAAAATCTTCTAGGTTCCATGTTGTTGTTGGAACCCTCTCTATAGCTCTTACCCTTGATTTCTAAGGGTAACTCTGGAATTTTTGATTGTCCTTTAGTTGTCTCCAGAGCTGGAGAAGGACGTGGTTGGGCTGGCGGTCGATCTTAGCAAATTGGACCCCAGCCCGAATTAAATCATTAAACATTTGTTTTCGGGATACCCTTATGGGTCCCGATGGAGGAGCTCGAGTAGCCGGCATTTTGGTTTTATTTACCGGCAGGACCTCTGCTTCCTCTAAAAACCGAATATTGCGCCTAGTCCGCAGGCGTTCTGTTTCTCCCAAGTCGGCAACTAACTGGGCAGCCTGCTGGACTACGGCTTCTGATGCTACAAGGGGATTTAATATGGAAACTAGGGTGCCGTACAGATGGGAGGGAGCTTGCTGTAGAATTAAATCTCTCATCCCTGCTGAAAATTTAACCATATCAGGGCCATCAAATGTATCTTCATAGATGGCCTCTCTTACACCCAGTTCACGGATATAGTTTTGAAGGTCCTCCATGGAGGACCACATACCTGTATGTAACGGTATGTCTGATTTATTCGGCCATACCATACGGCAGGCCGCCATTAACCATTCTAGTATGGAATGGTTTTCATCACGATATTGATTGCCTATGTATAACCTCTGCCTGAGAGCAGGATGGACGGTCATGGTGGCCAATTTAGATATTTCTGGGCCATTCACCAAGACACTTTCTGCCCCAGAATCCCACAATCTCAATAACCAAGCCGGCACACTTTCTCTAGGCTTCTGCCGAAATCGTTGTACTAAGTCCATTAATTCTGTTGCCGTGTATGGTCGAGCTGTAACATGTAAATGAGTCTGGGCAGGGGGCCATTGATCAGGCGGCACCCCTGCCGGTCTGTCCT